GGGGGGGGGGGGGAGGTAGCGTGCCGAGCAGCTGCAGCCAACGCTCGAGGAGCTGCGCCCGGAAGCGGTAGAGCTGCAGCGAAAACGAAACCACGGTCGGCCCGGCCAGCTGCGTCAGCCAGCCTCCCGCGCCACCGGCGGCGGCGTACGCGCCTACGTCAAAAAAAAGCAAAATAAACGAGGCATGCCGTTGTAATGTTGAGGCTGGTGCGAGGCGAGGCTTGTGTTGCGGCTCCGGGGAGGGGCTAGGAGAGGGGGTGGGTGGGTTTGGCTGGAGAGGAGTCCGCGGGCGGCGCGAGCGGGCGTCCGACCAGCCTCGGGGCGGGAGGACGGTATCGTGCGGTGTGTTCAGAGCACCGAGTGAGTACGAGGGGCTACGAGCACAGTGAGTACAGCTGGAGACCAGCTGAACACGGCCGAACGCGGCTGAGTGCGTGTCCTCTCGAGCGCTGGTTGGGAGACAAGAACACGTATTTTCGCTTCTGGTCGTACGAGCCAAGCGTCGTCCTCCAGCCAAGCCCCGAGAGGCGACCTAAGGGGAAGTTTCCGAGAGGGTTCCGAGAGAGTTCCGAGAAGGTTCCGAAGCCCTGCCCCGAGCGGCGACCGATTCCAGCGCACGCGAGGAGGACGGCGGCAGAGCAGCTGACAAACGGGTGGACCTGTTCACGCCCGTCTGCTGTGAAGGGAAGGCCCGATGACACATGCGTGGTGTTTGGAGCGGCTAAGAGCAAGGCGCGCCCATAGCTGGACCAGCGGGGAGATACGGGGAGATGTGGGGAGATATGGGGAGATAGAGGGCGCGCCCACAGCTGGACCGGCGGGGAGATATGGGGAGAGATGGGGAGAGATGGGGAGAGATGGGGAGATAGAGGGCGCGCCCACAGCTGGACGCGCGGCGCGCAAAGCGTGCTGGCGAGCGAGAAGCTGCCGAGAGTGGCTGCCAGCAAGCCAAGATTCAGCACCCACGCAGACGCGCCGCCGCCGCCGAGATAGAGCGCGAGAGCGCCTACACGGTCGATTGCGCCGTGGAGGAAGCGCTGGTAGCAACCGGCGAAGCGGCGCGCGGCGGCGCCCAACGCGACGGCGGCGAGCACCTGCGTACAACATCCTCTCTGGCTCTCTCTGTCTCTCTGTCTCTCTGTCTCTCTGTCTATGTCTCTGTCTCTTGTCTCTCTGTCTCTGTCTCTGTCTCTGTCTCTGTCTCTGTCTCTGTCTCTCTCTCTCTGTCTCTGTCTCTCTCTCTCTCTCTCTCTCCTCTCTCCTCTCTCTCCTCGCTTTCGTCCAGGCGACAAGCGACAACGAAACAAGCACCTGCTGCTGCGCGCGTGGGAAAGGGCGCGCCGCCGGCGCTGCGGCGGCCGGCGCCGCCGTCGTGGCGCAGCCGTCGTCGTCGCAGTTTCGAGGCGCGAGGGCGGTGGCGACGGCGGCCTGAGAACACTCGCCGTCACACCTCTCTCCCCTCAACAGCGGCGGGCTCGCACGCCGCGGCGACGGCTTCGTTTGTGGCGGTGCTGGTTGCAAAACCGGCGAGGAGGAGGCCGAAGAATGCGACGACCTCGACGGCGCCCAGCGGAGGCACTTTGAGGGGCAGCGCGATGAAGCCGGGCGCAAAGATGCAGGCGAGCCTACGGGGTGCCTTCCGAGACGGCTCCGAGAAGGTTCCGAGGCATCGCTGGTGCAGAGACGCTGGCGAGCCATGTGCGGAAGAGGACGCACGCAGGCTCGAAGAAGGCGCTCGCGGTGGAGGCCGCGCCCTCGCTGACGCGGCGGACACCGCACAGCACGCCGAAACCGCCGAGCATGCCAACGATGGACGCCGGGAAGGTGACGCCGACCTGCAGTGGCAGACCGCCCGCAGTCGGTGGATCGGACCGAGACAACCGAGGGCGGTGCCGATGCCGCGACCTGGCGCAGGAGGCGGCGGAGGGCTGCGTGCATGAGCAATAAGACAACCGCGGGCGCGATGGCCTTGCTTCGTAGGGCCGTCGGTAGCCACTCGCGGACTGTAGGCTCAGGAGGCTCGTGCGGCAGCGGCATGGCGGCGGGAGCAGCGGCGCTCGCATCCGTCAACAAGGCTGGCCGCCGCAGCACCGGCACCGGTGCTAGTGGCCGAGCGACCGTGGACGACGGCACGAAGCAATGTCCATCAAGGACCGCCAAGAGCAGTAGCAGCGCACTGAGCATGTGCACATGCATGTCGGTCAGGCTAGGGAGAAAAGAATTTTTAAGATACAAGCCTCTCTCACAGCACACTGGCACGACAAGGGCGCAGACTGGCGCGGACTGGCACACACACAGGCTCACCACCGGAGCCGCCTAAGCGACTCCGTTAAGAACGGCAATGCACTCCGCGCCATGCACAATGCCGCTCTCCCCGCACGCTAGCTCGTTCACCGGGGTAGAAGCAACAGGGCGTACGGGGTAGCCGTCACTTTCCTGCCTCGAAAGGGCGGGGCTGTCCCGGAAAGTGAGAAACGCCGGGCAGCGTGGCGCATCATTGAACCCTCCCATACGTGCTCGTACCTCCTCCTTCGCTGTCCCATCTCCTCACTCATCTCTTTCCCACCTAGGCGGGGCGGGGGTCGGGGGGGCGGCGGGCGCGGGTGCGAGGTGCGGTGCGGTGCGTGCAATCGTGTGTTTGGCGTCATGTCGTGTGTGCCTTCCTTGTTCCTTTTAACAACGAGTCTAGCAAAAAAAGAAAAAAAGAAAAACACGGAAAACGCGAACTCGCTCCTCCCTCGCGCGCTCGCAGACAGCTCCGCTCCACCTCAACCACACGCGCTGGAGACACAAGTTATCGATTGGCGAGAGGAGGAGGTGGTGGTTCTTGGGTGCGAGTGCGGAGCCGGCACTGAATGAGCAGCAGCTTCTACGACGAGGACGAGCGAGGCGGGCCGCCGCTCCGGCCGGGTGGCGGAGCCGACCGCGCCCCAGGCGGCGGCGGCGGCGGCGAGGGCGGCGGCGGCGGGCGGCGCGGCGGCGGGCGGCGCGGCGGCTCGAAGGGCGCCACGGTGGAGGCTGCCTTTGGGGGCCGCACCGTCCGCGGAACGATCGTGAGCCTGCGCGAGGACTCTGGCTTTGGGTTTGTCAAGCCGGACCCGTCGTCGACAATGGCGCGTTCGGACGTCTTCTTCCACCTGGCGTCGAGCCTCCAGCCGGGCACCTACCCGGACGAGCTCCGGCCCGGCACCCACGTCGAGTTCTCCATCACGCACGGCCGCGACGACAAGCCGCGCGCCGTCGAGATGCGGAAAGTGGCGGCGCACAGTCTAAGCGGGCATGGCCTCGGCGCGGCGGCGGGCGGCGGGCCGATCCTCGCGCCCTTCGGCTTCGGAGACGGCGGCGCCGCCGCCGCGACCGCGTCGCCCGGCTCGCTCGCCCCAGGCGGGGGAGCGCTGAAGCCGGGTGGCGGTGTGTCTCTGTCGCCGGGCGGCGGGGCGGGGGCGGGGATGGGCGGGGGGGGCGGCGGGGGGGGCGGCGGGGGCGGGGGCGCCGGGGCGCGCGGGGCGGGCGCGCTCTCCCTCGCCCCGGGCGGCGCGCTGGGAGGGGCGGGGCGCTTCAGCGCGCAGGGCGGAGGCGGCGGCGCCGGCGCGGGCGGAGGGGGCGGCGGCGGAGGCGGAGGCGGCGGAGGCGGAGGCGGAGGCGGAGGTGGAGGCGGAGGCGGTGGCGGAGGCGGAGGTGCGCACACGGGGATCCGCGACATCCAGCGGCAGCAGCAGTCGATGCGGCAGTACGGCGCGAGGAGCGGCCGCAGCCACGGCGGAGGGCGGGGCGGCGGCGGGCAAGGAGGCGGCGGAGGCGGCGGCGGCGGCGGCGGGCAGAGAGGCGGCGGCGGCGGCGGCGCCGACAGCAGGCAGCCGCTGCTGCTGCTGCTGCGGGCAAGCAACGAGGCGGTGATTGAGAAGCTTTTCGATGACTGCTTCGCGCACCGCGGCGAGCGGAGCCTCCCCAAGAGCAAGGCGGCCACGCTGCACGCGGAGCTGAAGCTGGAGAGGGCGGACCAGCCGCGCGAGGTCTACCAGGTGCTTTCCGAGAACCTTCCGACGCACTCTTGAGACGCTTCCGACGCACTGTTGGGGCGCACACCGGCGTATGCGACGCGAGGGGCAGCCGCACTGCCGCGAGATTGCCCCCCCCCCCCCCCCC